ATTTTTACTTATTTCTAGATAGTTTTTGCAGCGTAAAATTAAGACTTTATTCCGGTTTTAGTTTAATCTCATAATGTGATCTTGCAATAGTCCAACTTTATTCCACTATAACTTTATTCTTCTAACAACTCTCTGCTTGTCATGTTATGACTGTATTCAGCTAGTATTACAACTTTAATCTCATAATGTTTTGATTCTAATCTTGAAATATTCCGATTTTATTCCAACACTTTGTAAAACTTTTTATGACGGCGTAACAAGTTTAATCTCCCTATGTTACAATTTTATTCTTGTAATTTTACAACCATATTGTGGAGATATTATTGCATTGATCCCGTAAAGTTTTCATTATAATATTGCAATGTTATGACTTTTTATTCTAGTGCAACTTGATCTCATAATGTAATGATTTTATTATTGTAATACTAGAACTACCTTTTTGTAATAAATAAATAAAACTATATATTAGTGTGGCACTAAGACACAGCCATGCTCAGTTTCCTTTAGAAGTTACATTAGTTAGTAATCAGTAATGAAGACCAGTGGACACTCATCACAGGTTAGGTAACAGTCAGTAACAGATCTCTACCGACCGTGAAAAAACTCAGCAAACCTGTGGTCCAACATGTGGTGCTTCTTTAAAATGAGCCCAAAATCGAATGTTTTGGCCGACAAAACCCTGAACAAAGCTCTCCCCCACTGTAAAGCACGGCAGTGGGAGCATCATGCCTATACTCAGCATGTACAGGGAAGCTGACCTGCTTATATGGGTGGGCAGATGGAGGTTAATCTGGGATAATCCTGAAAAAAATGGCAGCAGAAAGCTTGAAATATGAGTGATGGTATAAATCCTTAACATAGAGCTACAGTGGAATGAATCAGATCAACTTAAAAATCCATGTTCACATGTCCTCTGCACTGCAAAAATGATCTGAAATTAAGTAAAAATGTCTTAATTCAAGTATATTTACCCTTAATTTGAGCAGGTAAATAAGATAGTTTGCCAATGGAATGAGTATTTTTACACTTAAAATAAGATAATTAGAAAATATGCACTTGAAATAAGACTAAGAGATTTTTTTCTTATTTCAAATGTAAATTATCTTGTTCCATTGGCAAAGTGTATCACTTAGATCCTCAATTTAAGAAAAAATGACTTATTTAGATTTACATTTTTTGCAGTGTGCGTTCATTCTGACTGAGCTTGAGCTAGTTTGCATTGAGGAATTGGTAACAATTCTTCACATATACATCTCAAAGTTCTGACAACGAGGGACAAATAAATATAAAAATCTTGCATCAGTTTTTTCCTTTAAAAGTTCCCCTGAAAATACACCAAAGTGTTCGGCTGTGGCCTTAAAACGGTC